TCATGTCTTCTTTCATTTCATTCATCATTTTATAATCATGTTTTTGAGTTCTGTGGCCTTACCTGGCTATCCTTAACATCTACTGTGGCATTGTTTGGTCTTTGGAGATGTCATTCTGCCTTGTTTTATCGTATTTCTTGAGATTTATGCATCTGAGGCCAATTTGTTTGTTGGAGATTGTAATCATTTGAAGGTTTGCAGTCAAAATGTTTACAATTCGGAGGCAGGATTGTGTACTGGGAGGATTTCAGTGTATCTTTTCCCCACAGAACCAAGAGTATAGGTAAGCTTCTGCCCATATGCTTAGGGCACCAGGCCTGTTCCCTCAGCACCACTTGAATAGAGAACTGGTTGGGGTCTCTTGTTTATCCTTGTGTTTGAGTTCTTTTGAGTCGAGTCAGTTTTCTGCTTTTGTTCTTCCACTTTGGGAGATTACCTTTTTTGTTTGCATCTAGAAGCCACTGCTGGTAGCACAGTTCTTTTTAATCTGTTGACTTGTCACTCTCCCACTTGCTGCACAGGTCATTCTGTTGTGCCAACTGAGGGAGGGTATGGGCCAGTTAGCAGGTCCTCTTACTGCGCCTGAAAGTTGGAGGAATAACTCACTGAGTTCTTGTGGAGAACTGACTCAGCCATTCCATCTGCATATCTCAGTTCTTTAGACCCTGCACAACAGTCATTGTATGGGAAAGCTGAGGTTGGGGTGTATCTTATGCTACAGATTTCAGCCCCACATAATAGCAACTTCCAGTCCCTTTACTACTTGAACTCGTTTGAAATCTCAGCTTGCCTAAGTCTAAACTTCCCCTCCTCTCCTTGACCACTTTTTGTAGCTCTGCTTTGATGACTATTCCTTGTTTTCCAAACTCCCAGGGTATAGCAGCTCTTGAAATCAGAAATGGCCCTCAGGCAGTGAAGTTGCTGTCATAGGCAGGATGAGACCACCCACTGCTGAGTCCCATCTGAAGACTATCTCTCCATATATGACTATGGTGGCTGCTGGTATACCAGGAGACACCAATCACCAATTATTTGTTTTCATGCTCATGGTTGTATCTGTCTCAAGGCCTGGCATGCAGCTAATGTAATCTATCTCCCAAGCAGCTCCATATCCAGCAGGAAACCCTCTCTCAAGATGGCAGCTCACTACATCTTCAAGAAATAGGGAAGTAATTCATTATTCTTATTCCAATACTTGCAGGTACAGATTTGTCTCATAGGTAGCTTTGTTTGTCAGGCTTACCTAGGAGTAATGGTTTCAATTTCTCCTCCTCTACCAGGAGTGCCAGGGTTGAAGCTGAAAACTGTTCACTAATTCTGTTGCCTTTTGTTTTGCCTCTTTTCAGCTACCTTACTCCTCTCATGTGGTTCTCAGTGCAAGATCTTCTTCAGCTTTGCTTTTCTGAATGTTGTCTCATTATCCAGACTCTTCTCTTTCACAATCAGGTAAGAGAAAGGTACTCCATCATCTTTTAACACTCCAATTTCTTGTTAATTCTAAGTGGTGGTACAATGAACATGGGATGCCAATGTTTGACAAACTGGTTTGATTTCATTAGAAATGTTTTTCTATTGTTCAACATTTGTATCTGTGTGCTTGTACTGGGGCTTGAACTCAGGGGCCCAGCTGGGTGCCCTTAGCTTTTTTGTTCAAATTGGCGCTCTACCACTTGAGGTGTTAACTCCACTTCCAGATTTTGGGTGGTTAATTGCAGATGTCTCTTGGACTTCATTAGCTGAGCTGGTTTCAAACTATGATCCTCAGAACTCAGCTTCTTGTTTAACTAGGATTATAAGCATGAGCCACCAGAGCTGGGCTTTTGTTTTTAAGAGTTCCTTGTATTTTTTGGGTATTAACTGGTCATATTTTGAAGTATTTCTCCTTCTTCTGAGGTCTTTCACTGTATTGTTTCCTTCACTATGCACTGCATTCTAATTTCAGCTAATATGTTGGCTCTAAAACTTCTCTGGAAGTATGACTTATTATATGGTAGATATCTAAACTAAACAATTTGCAAGGCCTTAAACGCTAATTCTTGTCCACCTGTATGTGAAGATATACTTGAGCTCTCTTCCAGAATTCTCAAGTCTCAATTTAAAAATAGGAACCCAAGGAAAGTGTTCCCAAAGCCTGGGCCTTTTAATTCTTCTCCATACCCTGGCTGTAATTCTGTACTATCTTACTAGCTTTGTGATGGTTTCCAAATTGACTTTTCCAAGCAATTCTTTTTTTTTACCCTCTCTAGATGTCTCAGTTGGAAGGTTGGCCCAGATTATTTAACAAGGAAAAATCTCTTCCTGTTAAAGTCATTTAAAATTGTTAACTGTACAAGCATCTGGCTTTCTATTAAGGTATCAGTAGTTCAAGAAGGGTATAGAATCCTAGGAAACTTGGGTTTAGATTTTGTTAAAGAAATTGTGAAACTGCTGGCTTAATTTTAATATGCTTGTGTACACACAGATCAATCTTGGTAAAATGAAATAGGGAGTATTTAAGGATATGAATACATGGAATTGGGATCTTTAGAAGACAGAGATCCCAGAGGCTGGCTATAATTCAATAAACAAGATCTTCCATGTATTCCATGGTCAGTCCATTCATATAGCTAGTGAATCTCAGATGTACAAACTCCAAGGCTGACATTATGGTGGGCAGACCAATCTGATTCTTTAGTGACACTCTGTATTTAACACTTTCTATACTTATGGCAAGTAACAGGTGTAACTTTAGGAATTCTCAACAATACATGCCTTCTGAAAGAAGTCCCGATCACCACTGCGACACTACTATTTCTCTCCATATGAACTTTTCAAAGGAACCCACGTACTTTTTATGTAAGGCCAACATGTGGGAAAGAGTATTCATTAAATAACTGTCAGACTTTTAGACTATGAGCATGATTTTTGACTCTTAGGGTAATATGTTTGTGGCTTCATTAATCTATGTGGAATTCACAGAAATACGCTGTAGGAAAGAATCATGTATAGTATATGAAGATGCAACTACCTTCAAAGATTTTTAACCCATCCTTTAGAAACAGCCTGTGAAAATAATTCAATAAATACTAATACATACAACTGCGCATGTCATATATTCTAACATATATGCATTAATAGTTTGAACTTTATTGTGCTTCCAGGGTTTCATTGCAGTCAGGGCTGCACTCTTGCTTGACTTTTTTGCTCACAACCAGAATCATGCCTCCAGTTCCAGCTTTTCGCTGGTTAGTTGGATTTTTCTGCACAAGGTGACTTCAAATTAATCCTCTAGGGTTTAGCCTCCTGGTCCATCTATGATTACACCCATGAGCCACCAGGGCTCAGCTTTTTTAAGTCCCAAATACTGGGGGGGCTTAAATTCAAGGCCTTGAACTCTTTGTCCATTTTGCTCAAGGCTTGCACTGTATCACTTAAACCACAGCTCCACTTTCAGCTTTTTGGTAGTTAATTGCAGATAAGGGCCTCACAGACTTTCCAGCCTGAGCTGGCTTCAAACTGTGATCCTCAACTCTTAGCCTCCCCAGTAGCTAGGACTACAGTAGGCATGAGCCACCAGTACTCAGCTAAGATCTTAAACAATCACAACAAAACCTTCCAAATAGTGATTTCTTAACAAAACAAAAAGTCCTTTGGAGAAGTGTCAGAATAAAGGGTACTATGGTTTTGTCAAATTTTAGTCCACCACATACCATCTTGAATTATGTTAAAACTATCCCATGTTGATAAAAATTAGCTTTCAAGTATACTAAACCTGTCAGGGATCAGCAGACTACAATCTGTGATCCAAGTCGATCATACTCATAATTTCTATGTTGTTTATGGCACTTTACAATAGCAGTTCTATGTAGTACCACAACAATCTTATGGCCTGTAAAATATTAAATCTTTACTGGCTGACATTTCCCAAGTTTGCTTTTTTGGGGGAAAGGGGTGTGTGGAGTGCAGTACCAGGGCTTGAAATCAGGGCCTGGGCATTGTTCCTTTTTTGCTCAGGGATGGTACTCTAGCACTTGAATCACAACTCTGCTTCCAGCTTTTTGGTGGTTAAATGGAGACAAAAGCCTCACATTCATACTCAAGTCGGCTTTCAAACCTTAATTCTTAGATCTCAGCCTCCTGAGAAGGTAGGCGTAACATGTGTGAGCCATCAGTGCCTGGACAAGTTTGCTAATTTCTGATGTACATTATGAATACTTTAGAAAAATTTTAAGTCAATCCAACAATCATTTTGTAATTCAACAAAAGGTGAGATTTTATTTTTAAAGTACATTGCTAAAGTAATGGTGGCTCATATCTGTCTGTGACTCCGGTCATAAAGAAGCTGATATAGGGAGGATTATGGTTTGATACCAGCCAAGGCAAACAGTGAGATCCATCTCAACAAATAAATTGGGTATGGTGGTTCAGGACTGTAATCCTAGCTTCATGGGAGGTATAGGGAAAGACCATGGTAGCTGAAGCTGAAAGTGTTGCTCAAGTGTAGAATACTTGCCTACTAAGTATTCAAACCACAATACTGAAGGGATTAAAAAAAAGTATTCCCCTTCAAGTATTTTTGTTTGTTTGTTTTTTGCCGGTCATGGGGCCTGAACTCTGGGTCTGGGCACTGTCCCTCAGCTCTTCAGCTCAAGGCTAGTGCTCTACCACTGGAGTCACAGCGCCACTTCCGGCTTTTTCTGTTTATGTGGTGCTGAGGAATCGAACTCAGGGCCTCATGCTTGCAAGACATGCACTCTACTGCTGAGCTACCTTCCTAGCCCTCCCTTCAAGTATTATAATTAAAAAATATTCAGTAGCGATGCCTAGTTTCCAACAAATGAAAAGTCTAGCGATGAAACCTCTAAGAACTGTTTCTGGGAAGATATCTCAAGAACAAGGCCTTCCAGACAGGTACTCTTACTTCATTTATGTATTTGAAAATAATCTGAGTTATACAGAACTAATAAGTATTGATTCTTATTTTACTTATTATTTTAGGAAATCAAATACTATAAGCCTGCTTCTTGAACACCTAAGACATTTATTTGGATAAAAAGATACCAAATATCTGGAGAAAAGGAACGTCAGAGCTCCAAATCTAAAACTGGTAAAATCTTAAAAAAAAAAAATAAAAATCACAGCAAGTATTTAGAATATAGGACAAACCATTTACAGTTAAGGACACAAGAAAATGATCTGATGAGAAAAGACTGACACATATTTAAAACCAACTTGGGTATAAATCCTAATTACTTATATTGAAATAAAACAATACAGAAATTAGAAAAAATTTGACTGAAACACTAAGTTAAAAACTATATGTTAAGTAACTATTAAGGCTATTATTAATTTTTTCAGAATAACCATGTGAAATAAAAATGTTAACTTTCACTGTTATAGATTAGCTTTTAAAAACTCATTCTTACTGTATGGGCAAATTCCACAAATGACTCATATTACACCATTTAACTAAGACATGAACATGAGATTCTATGGCTCTCCACTCCTCTTTCCTCCTGAAAGACAAACTGTGTTTTGTCTGGGGGTCATGTTCATAGGATGATGATTAGGTTCAACTAGTGAAAGCTCCCAAGTAGATATGAACTGCTCTATGTACATGTTGATCACATCAAATATAGGATGTTAGAATGAGATATTAATGCACAGTCTTCAAAAATGTACATACAGATGCTACCATAATAAAAAATGATTTAAGAGTATTCCTTTGCCTTATGATACCTCAAGAACATTTATTTTCAAATATTTGGCAACCTAGAAAGGCAAAGAATTTCAAGAACTCAAATAAAAAGTAAACATCTCCCATAATGTATTAAAACAAACATTTTCCTCTAAAAATTATTTGGGCTGGAAGAATGGAATGGCTCAGATGGTAGAATGCCTGCCTAACAAGCATGAAGTCCTGAATTCAAGTACTAAACACTGACAAAAAAAATAAATTACATAATTAAAAGCAAAATAAAAAAATTCAAGCTAAAAAGACCTCATCAAATCCATATAATCTGACAGGTCTAGCATATACCCATGAAGTTTGGCTTAGAATTTCCAAACCATGAAGAGAAAAAAATTTACATTCTTTGACATTAGGAGCTCTGCTGTAAGTAGAACAAGCTTAAAAATATTTTCAATGGTTCAAAATAATGCTTAGCCACACCTCAAAAATTCAGATTTAGGTAAATCTTAGAAATTATACATTATCTCATTTTCCTGATGACTTATATCCAATTTTCATAGACATCAGAATGAATTTTAATCTCCTTTCATTGTGAAGTGAAAGCTAATGATGAAAGGGTTCGCTAATAAAATTCTCATTATATTGACTAAACTTATCTTATTTTTCATATTTTACTTGAAAAATTAATGTTCGCCTTTTATAAAAAAACTAAATAGAGGCAATTATAAATTAAAATTTATGTGCTTTCTTAATGTCTTATTCATAGTATTCTACATTAAGAGGCTTCACTGACAATTTACTGCAGCATCCTCTGGGTGAAGCATATCTGTTATAACAAAGAAACAGACCACTTTTGACTTTAAAATTATACATATATTTATATTCAGTTGACAAATAGCATCACAATTATTACCGTATAAAAAAACTGAAAGTCACTATGGAACCTAAGGCCTAAGTTCTTATTTCAATCGCTCCCTTTTATTTATATCTAAGAGATATTAGAAATTAGATTCTAGTACCTCAAAAAAAATTCTAAAAAGGTCTATATTATTTATAAACAATGTGGAAAATAAAAGTTGCTTTTTGGCTAAATTAGATTGCTGTTACCTAAAGTATTTACAATTTTGTTAATGTTAAGGGGGAAAAGCACTACTAAAAATATAGTATGAAACAAAAATATTCTGCCTGCATTTTGTCTGTAAATTATTTGTATTTCCTAAGTGTCTGTTGAATAGAATTTGACCTCTAAAATGCTACTGAAAGTCTGAAACAGTACCACTATGCATTTTATACTGTTAAATCTAGATATTGTTAAGTCCAATATTGTAATAACTCTAAGCACTGAACTTTAAATTAAACAATGGCAATGTGTGTAGATGGAATTTTATTTACTATTGTAAAATGCCTTAATGTTTATCCATGAGACTATTCGTTTAATCTTTTAATTAGTCTCATATATAGTATGTCCCCCTAAAATGTGAAATGTCTCAGTAACTCATCGGAAAATAATTGTTACTCTGTTCTTAGAATTATTTTTTCTAATATTTAAAAACATTGCTAAACCCTTGGCAAAAACAAACACAATTCAGTGTAACAGACTGAGCTTTAAATTGGACTTTAATTTTTAATAACTGTAACCTATTAATTGAACCAAATGTAGAACATTTAAACGACTCACTATGAAGTGTGTCAAATCAATGATAGAATGCATAGAAAGCAGAAAAAAAGTTTTAGGAAAGGTGTAAGGTGGTTAAATGTGGAAAAGGATAAATGCTAATTGTAGTAACAAAATGGTACTAAATGCAAATGAATGTTAAATTAACATGGTATAAAAAGAGAACAGCTTAAATAAACTGAATTCACATATTACAATAGCCAAGTTATGATAGACTGAACCAAAGACAAGAACAGTTCTGAAAATTCTCTTTTCAGCCTACTTCCAATAGAAATAGTCAGGCTTTTTTTTCCCTGTACATAGTTTGATGCTTTGTCTATACCATATATAGTAGAAAAATAAATTCTTTAGCAACCTAGAAACAGTTTATAAAACTCTTAAAGTTTTAATTTTCTTTGCCAGACATGCCAATGTTAAACTGACAGCTATAAATTAAAGCTATATAGACAATAGGCATAAGTAATATAGAACAAGTTAAGAATACTACATTTACCGGATATTTTTTTTAAAAATTACTGTACTTTCTTAATTCCTGTGTGCTTTGCAATAGGAATAATAGGGACTTTGTTTTCTTAGAAAAGATAATATAACATGTAAGATTATAACACAAATAAGATAATTTATAATATACATGTATTTCAACAGCAGCCTGGTTCATATTGACATCTTGGTTCTGAAGTGAAAACTGGAAGTACAATTCTAGGAAATATTTATTTTAGGGAAAAAATGAAGTAAATCAAACTGTTAGGAGCCTTGAATCTCAAAATCATCTATTTACACACACAGTAACTTTAAAAACTGCAGTATGAAGATTATAACAATAACCAGTTAATTTCTTCTTCATTACATATCTAGTAATGGAAAAACCTTATTTTCCCTTACCAGAAAAAAAATTGGTGGCTTGATAATGAAAGAATTTTAAATGAAGTAAAACAGAATTTACCTGTGCTACCAGTACTGAAAAATTTTTCCTGTATCTTCATTAACAAACGTAACTCTAAAAGCAGCAGTCATTTATAGCAAATCCGGTACCAACATCAAAAGAAAACAACTGGTTTAAAAAATGGTGCAAAAGCCATTTTGGATTTTAACACAACACATCACAGAAAAGATATGAATGCAAGTTTGTGATTTTATATATACACACTCCAATGAGTCTGTCAGTACCCAAAGTATTTTTATTGCTATATTAGCAATGGATATTTTGGATATGTTCTTAAGGGCCACATAAAAATAGATTCAGGGAACAGATTAAATTGAAGTCCTAGATTAAAATTTGGTTTAAAGAATTTTCTACAACAAATTTTATGTTTATGTATGAAAAGTTATATAACCTTATATGAAAATGTCATGAAGCATTTTCTACACTATACTAAATGTATTCCCTAAGAGGGAAAAAATTAAAACATCTAAAATATATTAGATTAAGATTATAAGACCATCATAGATCTTTTGAACATGCATCTGTTTACAGAATTAACAGTATACAAAATGGTTCTTTTATTATAGACCATAAAGAAATGGGTTGGTGATAACTACCCTTTGTACCACATTATCAACTCACTTTAGCCACAAGCATGTCCTTGGTATATGTGTAAAAGAAAAAGGCTCATTTATACCTCATCAAATTATCCACAGGTTTACTTAGAAGTACAAATGAAGGTGCAGAAATGTGAAATGTTACATTTTTTTCTTTCTTTCTTTCAAACAACATCCCAAGCATGGCATAAGTAGCCTGAAATTATAAAATACTTAACTGGGCTTTTAGTTATCTACAGACTGCTAGAATGTAAATTAAGATACCCAAATTAGCACATTGAGTAACAAAACCAGCCATAAAGCAGGCTGAGAAGCATTAAATGTTTCATATATGTGAGTCTTTAAATCATTTAATTTCTATAGAAAAATTTTATTCACAATATAATGTGACAGAAATTGCCACAGGAATGATATACTGATTGCAATAAGGTTGCATGCAGCAGCAGCTTTGTATTTTATAGCTATTTTTGTTTATAAAAATTAAACCTCTCCAGTCATGCTTACCATATGGTCTTTGATTTGTAATGGAGGTGAATAAGGAATATAATAGTTCAAAGAGAAAATCTCATTTTAAATGTGAATTATTTTTATGAAATATGAAGTATACTACTGAATCCTGAAACATGCATGTCTAGACTTTTTTGTCCAATTTCAGGCTGTATGCAATCAGTTTCTACTTATATAATACCAAGAGGATCTGTCTGTAATTGTGGTTGAATCAGCTGAGGTTGCAATGGTGGTGGTAACTGAAGTGGCACCATTGATTCCACTAATTGTCCAGGGTTTGTAGGTGGTAGAGGAGCCACAGCATTCACAGTTTCTATGATTTCTCCATTATAAAAGAAAAACTGACACTGCTGAATGAATGTTTCAACAACAGATTGATGGATCTTAGTAGTAGACAGAAACTCTCGATTTTCAAAGTCAGGTCTCATCAACGTTGGCCAAAAACAGATGGATAAGTTGTCTGCTGTCATTAGGTTGATTTTATTTTGCTGACTGACCCTGAAAATTATGAAAGGAAAAAATACAAATCAGAACTCATTACGTAAATAACAGAATCCCAAAACTAGGAAAGATTTTAGAATATTTAGAAAATATTTCATTTTATTTAGTGTTACCTTTTTTTACCTTTACATTTAGAACCTTGTTTTTCTTGGTATTCTACATTCAACTACATTTTAAAATAGAAGAGAGCAATAAAACTCTTGATTTTTTAAAAAATGAGATTGCCAGTCTTTTAGCATCCCATTAAAATTTAACATATAGAAGTTTTAATTTGCCTGGGAAACTCAAACATATCCCTCCAGGGTAAGAGGGCCAGAAGACAAAAACTAGTAGGTTTCCAAATAGTTCATTTGAATTCTTAGACTACTGTGAGATATTAAAATAAACAGTAGTATGCCATGTCTTTAAACCAGATTTGGGTAAATCACTACCATAATCCACCTAACCAAAAATATTTTACTTTTAAAATTATTTCTAGTAGTCCATAAAACCATTTTAAATCATTACCTTGTATAGTAGTATAGATTATTTGAAAAATAACTCAGTTTGTAATACACTCTATCTTTAAATTACTTAAGTTAATAATTTACAAATGGCCATACATCATTATCTTTCATATTAAGAAATACAAGGCAAATCTCACACTGTAATTCAAAATTATTAAATTGGAGGAGATTATTGGGAGTCTATACAATCTCCTTATTTCAGACATAAACAAACAGTCCAGAAACACAAAGGACAGGAGAAAACCCTTAAATTTGTATATTAAAAAAAAAATAAATCAGAAAAGAAACTCCTGGCCAGGTGCCAGTGGCTCATACTTAGAATCCTTGCTACTCAAGAGGCTGAGATCTGAGAGTTATTTTAAAGCCAGCTTGGGCGGACAAATTCAAGACTCATTTCCAAATTACCGGCAAAAGCCAGGGCTCAAGTGGTAAAAGGTCAGCTATGAGCAAAAAAGTTAAGCTAGAATGTGAGGAGCTAAAAACTAGCACCAGCACATACAAAACAAACATTTTATGGAATACTAAAGTTTCTCTGCAGTAAAGTAAGTGGCCTAAAAAAATGTTCTGAGCCAGACTCCTGGGCTTATGTCTGCAATCTCAGGAGGCTGAGAACTGAGGTTCAAAGTATGACCAGGTAGAAAAAAGGCCTCAAGACTCCACTGCCATTTATCTAGCAAAATGCCAGACTGGAGGCATTGCTCAAGTAATACAGAGCCAGTAATGACCAAAATAAGTTCACAAGCTGTGGGGAAATAGCAAAGTGGTTGTAGAATGTTTGCCAAGCATGTGTGAGGCCATGGTTTTGATACTTAGCACTGGGTGGGAAAAAATGTTCTGTGGTAAAAGCTATTATATTCATTGAGAGACTTACTGGAAAATCAGAATAAAGTCAACTTTTGTTAATAGATGGTAGGAGCTATTAAAGGCAGTTTGGCATTCATGTAGTAATAGGCACTGGAAATAACTGAGTATAGTTTCAAGTCTAACTGAATAGTTAGAAAGTACAGAGGAAAGCTACTATGTCAGTCTGAAATGAGGGTGGCTACAGAATGCTTCAAAGAGGGCAAGAGATGATGTTTTAGTTACATCAAAGGTGATGGATGTGGGATGAATGGTATACAGGTAGGAAAATTCAGTTAAAACACAGTTAATTTTAGCATTTATGAAAACCTCTTAGCAGGCCTGTATAAACTGCTGAAAAATATTTGTTGTTTCTGATTCTGGGGTAACTAGTGGTTACCTGCATTTCTAACAAATTCCCAGGTAGCTGCTTCTGTTTTGGAGCCATACTTTGAGAACTACCTGAGGTAGTCATGTCAATATATGATCTTGATACCCTTAGTCAACTGCTATTAAATTCAATACAGCAACACTTAGTTCATGTATGGGGCAAAAGAAATTTGAATCACTATTGTTAAACGGCTTGGATTCTTTTGTGTATGGGGTGGGAAGAGTATTTGGGGCTTAAAGTCTTAACTCAGGGCCTGGATGCTTGTCCCTCAACTTTTCGCTCAAGGCTGGTGCTCTACTACTTGAGAAAAAGTTTCACTTCTGGCTTTTGGTGTTTAAATAAAAATAATCTCACAGACGTTCCTGCTCCAGCTGGCTTTGAACTGCTATCCTCAAATCCCAGCCTCCTGAACAGCTAAGATTACAGGCATGAGCCACCAACTGAAGCCCAGATAACAGTATTCAATCATAAATGGTCTTTATGGAATACTTAAAAAATATCCTCTGGCATCAAAAATCAAGAGGAAAAATTGGCAATTATAATAAAAGCTACAAGAACAACTGTAACAAAGCTAGTTTCCTAAACAAGAAACAGTAATAAAGCAGTGGTAAGGGAAAGAAAATGGAGAATAGGAAAAAACACGCTTATTGTAGTGTCGGAGGCATTGACTCCCAAGGCCCCATCTAAGCTCCTCTGTGCTGTGAGGGTACGTGCTGGCATGCATTTCTCTGGGGGAGGAGGAGGATACCATTTCCTCCATGTGGGGCAAAGGTCCGATGCCAGTGCCAGATTCAGGTGATGTTTTTCCAGAAGTGCTATTCATGCTCCTCCTAGTTAATTGTGTAGACTTATGCCTCAAGATTCCGTTTGTGTTTTTTAATGGAGCCCCACCTGCACCTTGCTTCCTCTTTTATTACCTTGAACAATTCTTTCACTGATTAAAAGTTGCTAATTTCCACATTCCCCAAGAACTGTTTAAGGTCAACTTTCTGTCCCGTGACTGTCCCCTGACTACAGACTTACCTTCTATGCCCCTTTGCCCTATATAAGCATATGATGTTTTAATAAACTTTGTCTACACCCGCATGGTATGGTCCCTTTCTGCCTACCAGACACCATGTTCCCAGGTCTCCCTGTGTGAACAACAACACTGAAGTTTAATTAAGCATTCCTTTTATACCGACTTAGGTCTGATTGTATTATTCTGCTATACCTCCAGTGAATCTCAGTGTAAATCATGCAGCTTTTTAAAAAAATAAAGTATGGCCCCAGTTTTTAGCCTCTTTGCTGCTCCTCAATGCATCAGATATATTTTGACTACATTGCTTGTTATGGTTATCACCAGAGCTAAGAGCAGTGCTGGGGAGTAGTAAGTAATTCAGAAAATTTTGATTGTGGACAAATACTGAATATGCCCTCTTTTCCCCAAATCATCTTAATGAGGTTGAATTCTTATTTCAGTCAAATAATATATTTGCAAATCACTCCTATATTCCACAAGTAAGGTATCCTACAACATCCATGCACACTATTATCATAACATCAAACACCCAACTTTTCAAAAAGGGAAATTCTAAGTCTAAATACTATATGCTGAGTAGTATTTTCTTAAGAGGAATATAAATAATGAGAATGCAAATTTACATTAAGACACTAAAGTAATAATAAAGCTTCAAACATTGGCTAATATTCTTTTAAATAGCATGAACTAAAATGTGCTTGATTGAGCCTTGATATTATTAGTTAAAATAAACTGCAGTTTAGTTTTTTTTGCACTAGAGACTGAACCCAGGGTCTCATACATGCTAGGTAAAGCTCTACCATTAACCAGAAAATATTACAAAATATACATTTGCAATTCCATGTTATAAATACTAAGTTGCCAGAGCAATTTTGTGAAGTGTTATCTTTCCCACTTGTTATATAGTAGACAACAATAAAGATAGGAAGGTAATTCTCTCCAATGTAACAGAACCATTAATATTACAAGTAGACCCTTGCTTGATTCCATTGCCTGAAGCTTCTAATCATTAATGCAAGAAGTACCTTTTTACATTCAAACATAAACTTAACAAATCTAGTGATAATACAAAAACTTGTGCTCTGTATTTCAAGTAACTGGGTAGGTTTGTAGTAAAATATTTTTGTGTAATACCTAAACAAAACTTTACATAACAGCTAAACAAAATAGAAGAGGCAAAGTGAATTACTTAAAACTTGGATTGATTCTGGTTTTTCCAACTCCAAATAGATTGACGTAGTTATTTAACTTATTTTATAATAAAAATTCTAAGAGTCTATAGAAGTCAATACTAAAGACAAAATTATATTAGGTTATCACATATAACTATTACATGTATAAAACCATAATCATATAGCTTTTTAGATATAAATAAGAAAATACAGATAATCATTAAGGAAAGCCAAAACTGAACCATGCTTCGACTGTTGCTTTTTTGAAAAAAAATCTTCTAATTTAATGAAATTTACATATTTGAAATCTACAGTGAATTTTATACTGCAAAAACAAAACAAGTACCTGTTCAGGTGTGTTATCACGTATCGGAATACCTCATAGTTTACAGGATGAAATTTCTTAACAATTTCTTTCAAGACATGAAGGCGTTCTATTTTATCTGGAATTTCTGTGAAAGTAGCAAAAATCTGCATGATACTCATATATTTAAAATACTTGATAAAAGCTTCTTGCTAACACTATAAAAAATTAAGGATGTTCTTGAAGTATGCATATTAAGATAAGTAAACAGCAACAACAAACATAATGCCAAAAAACCCACTAATCTAAATTAAGAAATCATTTCAATGAACATTCCCAATTTACACCATCTATTCCAACAGCCCTACTATAAGTAAAGCTATTTACTAAAGACCAAAGTGATTCAGCACTGATGAAAGTGTATTAGTAATTGACTTTATGTATTTTATAAAACTATTACTAATGTTCACTAATATTAGTTAATCACTGATATTATGTAAGTTAATCAATCTGAGAAATGGATTGGTAAGTCTTTTAATAGTCCTGGTACAAAGAGTATATTATTTCAGACTATACAATTACTCAGTAGTGAGAACAAAAGACAATATTTAACTTATGAGCACAGGCTGTCTTCTGTAATAAACCTTTTAAATTAGAATTTTATGTATTTTTAGTGTACCATGAAATTGATGTAAAAATAATTCTCAGTTCAACAGCCCTTCAAAAACAGTGATAGGCTGAATATATATGGCTCTCTTGGAATCTGTCTATCAAAAAAATAAATGTCCTTTATAAACAGTATAAACATTTAATATAGTTACTCTCCCAGTTTAGGCACATTATATCATGGACACTGAAACTTCTTCCTGAAATAATGGAAATAAAAGACTGCTTTCCTATTCTTTGTCATTTGAGGTTAATGTGGACATTACATCATCATGGGAGTATAATCACGTACTTAAAATTCTCATTTGTCACAATTTACTTCTATTGTTATGTACTCTATAAGTTCCTGGCTTATTGTTTTCCAAAAATTACTTCAGATGTAAAGCAAACATAAATCTGATTTAAAAAAGCAAAGATACATATATGTTGAACATATATAGGATAGTATTTTACCGAAGTCCATAACATACATTTATTTGAAGCATTTTTCTTGTAATACTTTTGAGTTAGAATTAAAAATACTTCCAATTTGGGAGAATAATTTTGAAAGAAGGTAATTATGGTTGAAATAAATTGTTTGCAACTATGAAAATACAAGGAAAGCTACTGAAATCGTTTTGGGAAGGGGACTAGGAAAGCAAAAAGACAATGAGATTATAAACACACGGAATATAAATAATGTGTAACTATTGTAAGCTAATAAATAAAAAATGCTAAAAAGTAAAAATACCTAAAAAATATAAATACCTCAATGTATACATTTAATTAACTTCTCAGAATACTGATCTGGCAGGATATCTAAAACTGCATATTCCTGGGTTCCATCCACGGGGATTCTAATTTTACCTCTAAGACAGCTGATCCTTTTGTGCTCAAGGCTAGTGCTCTACCACTTTGAGCACAGATCCACTTCTGGTTTTTCCGTAGTTAATTGGAGATAAGAATCTGCCTGCAGGACTGGCTTTAAACTGCAATCTCCAGATCTCCTGAGTAGCTACTATTACAGGCGTGAGCCACTGACAGCTGAATTTTTATAGTTAAAATCCTAGTTCATGACTGACTTCAATTACTACTCAAAAATTACTATATCATCCTTCTCAAGAAAGTAAATTTATACTTACTTGCTGCTGCCAATAGCTCTGGATGGAGTGGATATGGAATTAAAGGATCTGGTAGATCTGCAAAGAAAGCTTTAAGAGCTCCAGCTACAGCATTTACTGTCACTTCCATTGATACTAGACTGATATTATGATCTATAAGACAAAAGTAAAATTTTACCTTATATAATGAAATTTTAATTTATTGTAGAAGTTAAGCTCAATAGGTACCTCTAGATTAAAAGATTTGAAATTTCTCACTAGATCCTGTTCTTCAGAGGTTGACAGACTATATTGATCAGGGAAAAGAAAACCAAGCAAGGAATTGTTGTTTTCTTTTTAAAAATACCTATCTTAATTTCTTCTGCTTCCACAGGCATCTTTTAAAGAATCCATAAGAAACCAGAAAGAAACTATTTAACAATTTTCTAAAAAGTCTAAATTTAAGTAACTGTCTTATCAGTATACTGAACTAAAAGAGAAAAAAAGAATGGAACATACTAAAGGTGTGTCATAAAATGTATCTGAGATTAATAAATCATTTAAATCTAAGATAGACTAGAAAATAGAAAAAATTCCCATCACCTAGAAACAATCAGTGTTTATAATTCCTTTAGCTTCTCATCACTTAAAGGAAAAAACAAATACCTATTCTATATATTCTATACTTTATTTCATCTTTAAGGTATTATCCAAGCTTTAAAAAACATTTTGTTTATACTGGAAAACTGGCAAACAAAGTTAATGTATGTAACCCAGAATCATCAATTAACACTATACTTCATATAAGCAGGTTTATTTATTTATTTATATTTTGCCAGTCATGGGGCTTGAACTCTCGACCTGGGTGCTGTCCCTCAGCTCTTCAACTCAAGGCTAGCTCTCTACCAGTTGAGCCACAGCACCACTTCCAGCTTTTTCTGCTTATGTAGTGCTGAGGATTCGAACCCAGGGCCTCATGCATGCAAGTTAAGCACTCTACCACTGAGCCACCTTCTCAGCCCGAGCAGGTTTATTTTTGACCCATCAGTATTGGGGTTTGAACTCAGGGCCTTGTGATTATAGATAAGTACTCTACCACTTGAGCTATGCTCCTGTGTGTGTGTGTGTACACCACTTGAGCTATAGTACTCTACCACTTGAGCTATGCTCCTGTGTGTGTGTGTGTACACCACTTGAGCTATAGTACTCTACCACTTGAGAGGTGTGTGTGTGTGTGTGTGTATGCATGTGTGCGTGCGTGCGTGTGTGTACACCACTTGAGCTATACTCCCATCCAGGTTTTTTGGTGTGTATGTGTCTCTTAAACTCAGGAGTTCACATTCTTGCTTGGCTTTCTTGCTCAAGGCTGTTGCTCCACCACTTGGCCATTACCTCCAGTCTGCTACTTTGCAGGTTCATTGGAGACAGAGTCTCTTAGATTTTTTTGCCCAAGTTAGCTTTGAACCAAGATTCTCTCATCTCAGCCTCCTGAGTAACTAGGATTGCAGGCATGAGATTTCACTTTTTGTTCAGGCAGCTTAAACTGACTCTCCTTTTTATGCCTAATTATGCCTCCAAGTAGTTAAAATTATAGACCCTACTTATTGGCTGAGATAGTCATGCTAACTTTTTGCCTGTGATGAATTTGAACTACAATGCTTCAAATCCTGCCTCTTGAAAAGTTGGGATTACAGGAGTGCTCCTATACATAAATAATTTCAATAGTTAAAAATATTTCCTCAGATTGATTAACTTACATAGTATTAGTGATTAACTAGTCAACATTACTAGGTAGGCAGTCTACTGCTCAAGCCCTGCCTCCAATCAGCTTTGATCTGCCCAACCTTACCCCTGTGTAGCTAATTGACAATGAGTTGAAATGAAGATCTCACAAACCTTTTCCCTGACTAGCTAGGGAAAATCTTCCTGTATCTCAACCTCTCTTAAAATTCTTCACATGCATTATTCACACTTAATGTGTCCCAACCCTTTGCACAGATGAAGAAATTGAAATTTAGAAAGATAAACGTACCTGATACACAAAGAAAGAAAGTGGCAAAATTAGAAAACAAAATCAAAGAGTCAAATTCAAGAGCTTTGGAATTAACCACTACCCTGGCCTTCATTACCAGAAGTGAAATATATAAATTATAAATTCTACAGTTTCTCTAATGAAGATTAAAACTAAAAAATGGGCTACAGCATTCTTTGACAACACAGCTAAAGAGTATATACATACATACATACATATATGTATCTATACATATATATACACCACCATACAGCACCATATATATATATATGTATATGTATATATATATATGTACCACTCAACAACTTGATATTTTACCATGGTATCAAACATATATTATTTTACATGACTAACAAAATTAAACATTAATACTCAGGAGATTTGCCTCTACCTTCCCCCATCCCAACTACAAACAATGCTGCAGCAAATGCTCTTTATAAGCTTAAGCAAAGTCTTCTCTAACATAAACTCCATGAAGTAGAATGTCTCTAACAAAGTTATTTGAATTTTAATAGATATTCAAAAACTGCCTCTCAAAAGGTATCCATAACCAGTGTATATAATACCTATTTGCCTACAGTCTACTAATAACTTTTTTCACTTTGATAATAAATACAATCTTAAGGCTAAGGACTTTTTCAAATATTTACTAATAGCTTTTTTCTGCAATAAACTGCTTTACTATAGTTATTCCACATCCTCCCCAAGAGTGCATTTGTCATGGATTTTATCTATGCTTTATTTATATCCTCTTACAGAATTTCTGCATCTTTGGGTAGTTCAGGCATTTTTGGTTTCCTATCAAGTTTAGGCTTTTCCTACTCTTAACACTATAAAAATGCTCATTTTCATTCAAGTGTTTTTGGTTTTCATTCTTCTACATGTAAATCCTTGACTGTGTATGTAATTTATTTATGAATAGGCAAATCAGTTGTTTTTACTCTTAATGTTAAATTCTCCAACCTTATGAAAAAAATTTTCTCACAGGCCTTTGATATACAAAGACACTAATCAATTGTAAGTCAGTTTACTGCCTTCCTAATTGTGTTGATAGATTATATAACCTTTTATATTTATATGTGAATTGATTATTGGGATAAGAGTATAAAACATGAGGAAAAATGGAGAGTACCTGAGCCATCATCATATACCTTATCCTTCCTCAAAACAGTGTTTTATAGTATTCCTTGCAGTCTTAGGACATGAAATAGATTCTGATTATTCCTAAAACAAAACCTATATATATATGCCTTCATACTATTTATTCTGGGCTTATGACAGACTCTGTTCCAATAGAGTGCTTTTAAGTATTTCCTTTTTTATGGAAGAAAGAAGATGGTCTCTCTTTTTTTTCTTTTGTCGGTTGTGGGGCCTGAACTCTGGGCCTGGGAGGTGTTCCCTCAGCTCTTTAGCTCATGGCTAGCACTCTGCTACCTGAGCCATGGAGCCACTTCCACCTTTTTTTGCTTATGTGGTACTGAGGATTTGAACCCAAGGCCTCATGAATGCAAGGCAAGCACTCTACCATCGAGCCACTTTCCCAGCCTTAGAAGGTCTCTCTTTTGCCTTCATTCCTACATTACAAATAAGAGAAATACAATCTCAGCACTTGAGAGGTGAAGAAAGGAGGACTGAAAAGGAGAACTGCAAGTTCAAGATTAGCCTGAACTTGTGATATTCCATACTGAGATCTCTCTCTCTCATATATTTGTGTATGTGTAAGAAGAATACTATATTTTCTCAAACTCTTTCTTTCATTTTTATCCTATTGTGTTATAAAAGTTTCGTATTTCAACTTCTTGTAATTGCCTAGAATCCTAATGTAAAGACAACTTTCCTAGCTCTCCTGTCCTTTACTGTGGCATCTACAGTCTTCAATACTTCAGATAGTACTTTGAAACTCTCTCTTCTTAGCCATTCATTTCATTAGTTTTAAATACAAACCACAAAACTCCAATAAGGGAAACATCTAAACAATGATTTAACTTTACACAATAGTCATCTTACCCTGATCAAACTGCTTTTGAATATTGTCTTGATCAGTTTTGTTTCCACTAACACGATACAGTCCTTCAGTACATAATCCTATGAGAAAAAAAGAAATACACACGTTTCTACAAATACATATATGTCCACAATGTATTTAATTCTAAATACTGGTATAACAAAGAATGTACTTAACCTTAAATCCTTATTAACTTACCAAAAACAAGATACAATGGACCATTTCTTATTTGAAACTATTTAAGATATCCAGCTTCAAACAAAAACAAGATGAGATAATTTATACCTATTCCTCCTCCCACTAAGTATAACTCAAAACCCTCAGGGGAAAAAACACACACATATACACATGACTTTTTGAGATGAAATTACTTTAAAACCAAGCAAATAACATTACACATACATACACACACTCTATAAAAGTTTTTTTTTGTTTGTTTGTTTTTTGGTGGGTGGGTTATGAGGCTTAAATTCAGGGCCTGGGCCCTGTTCTTGAGCTCTTTTGCTCAAGGCCAGTGTACTACCACCTCGAGCCACAGCTTCATTTCTGGTTCTCTGATGTTTAATTAGAAATAAGGGCCTTTCCAGGGGCTGGGAAGGTGGCTCAGTGGTAGAGTGCTTGCCTTGCATGAATGAGGCCCTGGGTTCGATTCCTCAGCACCACATAGGCAAAAAAAAGAGAAAAAAGCCAGAAGTGGCGCTGTGGCTCAAGTGGTACAGTGCTAGCCTTGAGCTGAAGAGCTGAGGGACAGCGCCCAGGCCCAGACAGAGTTCAGGCCCCACGACCGGACCCCCCCCCAAAAAAAAAAAAAAAAAAAGAAAGAAGGGCCTTTCCTGCCTGACTGGCTTCAAACCACAATTTTTCTAAGTAGCTCAGATTACAGGCCTGAGCCACCAGCACCCAGCAAGTAAGGTTTTTTTTTTTTTAGTTCTTAGTTTTATAGTCAGTTCTTTATCTGAGAGCTTCCATAAATCCAAACATTTTATTAGTTTGAAACTAGGCAGTTCACAGATCTATTTACAAAAGAAGTGAAACTTTGGTGAATAACAACTCCTTTATACAATTAAAGAAATTAAAATATGGGAAGGGGGGAATAGGCAGGTGAGGAGGGAAGGGACAGTAGGGGAAAAACAAAGGTGGAAGTAACAATGCTGGATAGGAAATGTACTCATTACCTTATTCATGTAACTGTAACCCCTCTGTACACTATTTTTACAATAAAAAAACAAAAAAATTCAAATATTGATTTTTTTTGTGTATCTATGTATGTGTGTGTGTCCTGTGACCTGAACTCAGGGACTGGGTATTGTCCCTGGGTAATATCACTTAAGCCACAGCTCCATTTCCAGACTTTTGAAGTTGAAGATTAATAGAGCCTCATGAACTTTCCTGACCAGGCTGGCTTTGAACTGTGATCCTCAGATCTCAGCATCCTTAGTAGCTAGGAGTATAGGCATAAGCCACCAGTGCCTGGCTCATATACTGATTTACTAATTTTGTTAAGTATAGACAGCATAATGGTCAATTTTATATGTCATGTGGTTAAGTGACAACAGTTATTCAGTCAACAGTTAATCTAACAGTGAACTGACTTAATCAGTTAAAAAAACAACAGGAATGGGAGGGGAGTGGGGAATGGTAATTGGGAAAAAATGAGGGAGGAGGTAACAGTGTTTAAAAAGAAATGTACTCATTTCCTTACTTATGTAACTGTAACCCCTGTTCATCACCTTCACAATAAATTTTTTAAAAAACACACAACATTAAGTAACAAAACTAGGGTTTCCTGGAGGTAGAAGAAATTCCTCCTGTGTTTGTAACACTAGGTTTCGTTAAAGAGTTATAGCCTAGTTCCAAAGTGTCCTTTTCCTCTGTCATTTATACTACCTATGTATGTTACCTACAAAATGAACTACATCTCATTAGTCTCTACATAAAGTTTTTCTTCCTTTCGTGAATTCTATTATTAGTTCTTAATGCATACAGTTAAAACACCCATGTCTCAGTGACACTTTCCCTCCAACTCTAATTTCTTCTTTTTTTAGAACCATCAACACTTTATCTGTAACTACAGTATTACCAATAACTACTTTCTATAAATACTTAATAGAGTATGTTCTACGCAATGGCAAATACATTAGCAGTGTCCTTCCATCTGGTCCCTGAAAAAAACACACAAAGATATAAGCATCTACTTACTTTAGTTATTTCACCCACCACTGATGTGTTGAAACACATGATATTCAGACCAGTATATAGAAAAGGCTATTAGTATTTATTCTTCTAATTCAGCTTACCAGAAATACAGAATTAAAAAAAAGTCTCTACTTCTTTATAATGCAATTGCAATAGTGGGGCATTCCAGATGAGTTATATTCATATGGAAATATAAATTTAGGTAAGTAGAAGAATGCCACATCTACTTAGCCTGATCATGTATGTGATCACATATTATAAAGAAAAAAAATTGAATACAAAGAACTACAAGTGGCCACTGCCAAAAGATATCATAATACCCTAACAATAACATATATAATTTCTTTAAAGGAGAAACACCTCAATTTTCTAGATTCAGCACAATTTTTGTTAACCCAAAGCTCATCAGAAACTGCAAATTTTAAAAAAAAATGAGATTAGCAGCAGTGAGAGGTATGTCTGGTAACAAAACAGGATACTGAAAACTATAAAATGCAGGAAAATAAACTAGAGAGTTTAAGTGTAATGTAAGAATGTCTTGAATTCTGAAGAAGGCACACTTATAAAGCCAGTAAATGTATCATTAAAATACCATTCTGTAATCTTAGCTACTCAGGTGGCTGAGATCTGAGAATCATGGATTAAAGCCAGCCCAGGCAGTAAAGTCTGTAAGATTTTTATCTCCAACTAATCACCCCAAAGCTACAAGCGGAGCTGTGGCTGAAGTGGTAGAGTGGTAGCTCTGAGTGGAAAAAACTAAGGTACAGCATTTAGGTCCTGTGTTCAAGCCCAAGGACCAGCACATAAATAAACAACCATTCTGAAGGAAGAAACACTTCTAAACTCTATAAGGCATTAACACTAAAGTCAGACAAAAACATAGAAAAGCTAAAAGAAAACAAAATCAATGTCAACAACAATAAACTAAAGCTCCCCAACAAAATGCTAGGAAAATGAATCCAACAGATTTTATATGTAACACACATTAATAGAAGAAAAAATATCCACACACAATTATCTCAGTTAAAATTCAATAAAAGCAACATTTTCATGCTAAACACACACACACACACTACCCAAAACCATTTTAAAACAGGTATAAAACATACTATGGGTTGAATTATCTCAGTCCCCAAAACCTCAGAAGGTTAACTATTTGGATATAAGCTCTTTGATGATATAGTAAGTCAAGATAAGATCCTACCAGCTAATATTGATGCTATTTTTTTATTTTTTATTTTTGTTGGGCCTGGGCACTGTCCCTCAGCTCTTCAGCTCAAGGCTAGCGATCTACCACTAGAGCCACAGTGCCACTTTCATCTTTTTTCTGCTTATGTGGTGTTGAGGAATTGAACCCAGGGCCGCATGCATGCGAGGTAAGCACTCTACTACAGAGCCACCTTCCCAGCCCTATTGGTATTATTTAAACCCAATGTAACCAGTATCCATAAAAACCACATGCTAAAGGCAGTGGAGTGATATAGCCACAAAGCAAGGAATAGGACTAGAATCAAGAACAAGGAAGGATTCTACTCAGTTTCACAGAAAGGACAGATCCTGCTGACATCTTGATTTTAGACTTCTAGCTTTTAGAAAACCATGGCAGAATAATTATTACATGTTTCTAACTATGCTTCTGTATGAAATTTTTGTGCTTGATAACGTTTTAGGGCCCCTCTCTTTTGTATAGCATGTTAAAGATTATGAACTTTCCTTCTCACTCTAATGTTGTCCCTAAGTTTTATAAACATAAAGCTTATATCTACACATTGACAATGTCAGGGCATTGTGGTCATATGTGCAATACTATTGGCCTTTTATATATTCTAAAGGCATCATAAGATTCAATAGGCCTAAAACGAATTCATCATGAAGTTGGCAAATCTGTTTTCACACTCTAACTTCTTAATGGAATACCAACTACTATTACCCTAATAATCTTGGCATTTTTGAGTCCTCTTTTAATCCTACACTTACCTGGTTTGTTTTTTTTTAAATCTTAATTCCTGAAAGTCAATTATTCCCTTTTCAGTTTCTCTTTTCCATACTACTACTTTAAAACTTATAGCAGTATTTCCTGACTGGAGCTTAGCACTATTATTATACATAGAAGGACATAAGCTTCTACCAATGAAGGATTAACTGCTATAAAAATTGTCCTTCAGCAGTAAACAACTAAACACTAGAAAAACCATACATAACATATTTTAGGTACTGAACAGGCAGCTTGAAACTATGATCCATAAGGAAAAACAAATGAAGAAAGCTGTCTGAATGATCCAACTTTTCGCCTGGAGTGTTTAAGTGATAGTAAAAGGGAGATGAAAACCCAGCAGATCACCAGTGTGGAAAGGCTAAGAAGGCTAGAATTTGCGGCACAGAATACAAAATGGGGTAGACATATACAAAAAGCCTCAGATGCATGTAGACATATGTAGAAAAGCCCCTGGAACTTTTGTTGAGTGTTGCACATATAGTTCCTGACCCCAGAAGCTGAAAATTATTCTTGAAATATCTTTTAGTAATAGGGCAATAAGTAAAATTTGCTGCATTACTGTAGGTCTAAGTAAGTTTCAGAATAAAGGCCCTCTAAATCGTGAACATTTTAGCGAAGTGCATCCAATAGCAATATATAAAAAGGATAAAACACTATGATCAAATGGTGTTTGACATTTGAAAATCAACTGACACATTCTCTCTATATAAACCGTAAAAAAAACACAGGATGACCCATTGCCAAAAAAAAAAAAGGTAAAAAAAAAAACCCTATTACAACAACTTAGTGTGGGGGGTGGAAGAAGGAGTTGGAGAGGTGTGGAGGGAAGGTATGGTAGGGGAAAAACAAAGGAGGAGGTAACAACACTCGATAGGAAATGTACTCAAT